CTTTCTTCCTAGGTCAACACAATAAATAACCTGATGAATGAAGTTTACCTTTAAAACTAATTTCTCATTCACAGTATGCAAATTGATAAAGTACTTTTGTTCTGTTAATCTATGCTAAATAATAATAAGTAATTTATCATTAATGCTGGATAATGATCCCTTACAGTCTTTCTTTTAAATAACCATTAGTATATGTACTAAAAGTTGAGGATGCATATTTTATCATTCCTTTTCTACTTCCTTTCTTATTTTCTCTTCTTCTTTCTTTTTATCCCCCCCCCCCCACTTGATTTCTATTTTGTCCTTTGCAGATTCTTCCCCGAACACCTGGTAATGGCGCCAATGGTCGAGAGTTCTTTAAGACGAGGGGGCGCCTTATCATAAGATGGCTCGCCGTTGCTGACCTTCTGGCCGCATTCGGTGAGGGAAAAGATGTTTGTATGGAGTGTGTCTATTTTGGGATTGATATATTCATGTCTTGATGTTATTTATATTTTGAGTTTGTGTCCCTTATTATTTTTTGTTGATTTTATTGATTTTGTGTTTTGCAGTGAATAGACCTTGGTTGTTCTTATTTTTTTCATGTTTTTCTTCTGTTCCAGTTTCCTTTTTTCTGTATACCTTCTAAATTCCTCTCTGGCCTTTTTCCCCTTGTTTTAAGAATTTTCTATTCTTCTTTTTGTTTTTTTTTATTTTGATGTTTTTGTAGGGATTCTTATAAGATCGGCTTCCTGGCTTGCCAATGACACTTTTGGATCAAAGGCAGATGACAGCAAACAAGGGCAGTCTATGTGCATCACAACATCGGTAAGAGTTTTTCCTAGAATAACATATTTTATGAGGGTTTTCTCCTTTCCTTCCTCTTTTTTTCTTTTCGTCCTCTTTTTTCTTATCTTTCTTCTCCTTCTCCTGTTTCTTCTTCTTCTTCTTTTTCTTCTTCTTCACCACCACCTCTTCCTCCTCCTCCTCCTCCTCCTCCTCCTCCTCCTCCTCCTTCTGCTTCTCTTTCAGCCCAGTGATATATGTATATTTAGCGTGCTTGCTTGCAAAAGCCGTACAAAGAGCAACCCAATCCAATTGTCCTGATCCTGCAAAGCACACTAAGTACTGTAAATAATCACCTAAAAAAAAATCAGGAAATGCAAAATATCAAAATATCTTTATTTTTCTTCCTGGGTTTTCTTCCTTTCCTTATTTTAGTGTTTTTTTTTTTTTTTTCTTTTAAAGCATATTAACTAAGTTACTTTATAGATCATTAGATGGCAGTTTTGAAATGCATTTTTTTTTCTTGTTGGATATATAGGCTTGCTTAGTGACAGAAATTGGAAGCTGTGTATTTACTTGTATTTGCTCTTGGTGTATTACATACATTTGGGGAATCATTTCTATGCTTTGCTTATTCTTTTGTTTTTCAATTTCTTTGTTAAGATTACTTGATTTAATTCATTAACTGTTTGGTGTGATTGTTCATTAATTATAGATAGCTCTGATTTCTTTCTTTGTAAGTATATATTTTGTCAACCGTATCTGCAACATATATTAAGTATATTATAGTATGTAATAAGAAAAATATGACTTTGGTCTGCACAGTTTTCATATGCTTCATTATGAATTAATTATCTTTTTTCAATAGCATTTGAGAAATTCACATCAACCAACAGTAGATGTACTATAACTTCATCCAGTCAACAAAGACATACCATAATGGTAACTAGTAGATCCTAGTTGCACCTAATCCAATTTATATAAACCAGACCCACAGTGAAAAAAAGGAATACAGCAGATCTTACTAAACCATGATTTTTACCACACTGATTTTTGTACTTTCTAGGCTCCAGTAGAGCCCTCCATTGCAAAAAAAAAAAAGTAAACCCATGTCATGTTGAAAGCTAACAAGGGTTTATTTTCCTGAACAGGTTATTATCCACTATTTCTACACTGCAACTTACTGCTGGACTTTCTTATATGCCCTGGATGTGAAGCTTGTAACACGTCAGAGACTCATAAGCCACCTCATGTACCATGCAGTGGCTTGGAGTGTTCCGCTAATCCTGTGCCTCTTGGGACTGCTCACCCTGTATCTTCCTGATCTAAAGTAAGTCTTTCTTTCTCCTGTCAAGTGTGTGTGTGTGTGTGTGTGTCAGAGAGAGAGTGAGAGAGAAAGAATGTGTGTATATGGGTGCATGTATACATAATTTTTAATTCAGTTATAGGGGCTACGGTACAGTAAAGTTTTCAAAATATTTTTGAAAGATGGTGTATTAGTCTTTCTATTTTTTTATAAATGATATGGACATCCCCATACTATATAAAGATTGTAAACAATTACATTTTTGGAAGGATATTCTTGGGCAATAAATTGTTAAAAGAAAAATAATTATGCTAATAGAATATCACAGTTTTTCTTCATATACAAGTGCCTTAATCCCTGTTTTCTTTCTTTCAGTTGCCACAGTCAAGCCGTGAACCCGTATCTGAGATTTCTGCCGAATTATTTAACCACATTTATTCCCATTGTCATTGTTATGATTGGCAACCCAATACTTTATTGCATAGCATTCTCAAATCTTGAAATGGAAATAATGTCAGCCAGAGGGAAGTAAGTCTTGTTTTGTGTATTTGTATTTTTCCTTTCCTTATTTATATATCCCCTTTTCAACTTTTTAAAGGAACCATCAAGATTTTTTTCTTCTTCAAAATACAATTAAAAAAGTAAAATTTGCTTTAGATATTAGAACACTCTAACCAGGAAAAATGCATTTTTTCTACTATTTCAGATTTTTTGAGATAAAATAGTTTATAAGTAGAAAAAAAAGATTATTATTGATATAGAATCACAGGAAACAAACACCACTTTCTCTTGTCAGATTCACCCAATCAGAACGGCAGGTTGTTGATGGTCTGCGCAAGAAGTTCTTGCTGATCAATGGAGTTTTTTATCTCTGCTGGTTGCCAAATATCATCAATGGCATCGTCTTGTGGACATCTTGGAATAATCTTCCTAAAGCATTTATTATAACAGTGTGGTATCTTATGGTAAGCTGTTCTTTTTTTCTTGTTCCATCCCTCTTCTTTTTCTCCTTGAAGCTGCTCCTATAAGAGAGCTAATTTGTTACTTTACTTGGAGCAGTTCCTTGTTCAAGTAATAGCATGTTGATCACACCAGTCTGGTGATATCTATTTTACCTCATTGCTTATTCTTTATGCTTTGTTCTTGTTTCCAAGAATGCATCTGTGTCTCTTGAGAGCAATACACTTGTGATGGAATGGGTAAAGTACACACCTTTATTCCACCACTTTAATAACATAATAATGCTTTGGTTCATTATATACACTGACATGGATCCATGAGTAAGCAAGAGCAACCAGCTGCCCACTTGCTCTTATATATGAGTTTTATGCTGAATAGAGCAGTTTTACTAACCTCTCACACACTTAGATATGATTATGACATATGAATATATGTACCTAAAGTTTATAGAAGTAACATTAACATTAACTTACTACAATACCCATGACATGTATAGTACATTGTGAGCTATGTTTGTTATAGCAGACAATAGAATGTTTTTGAGTTTCTGTAACATTTTTGACTTTCTTTAATGATTGAGTGAAACAAGTTTCAAACTGGGGCTGCTAAATCTTGAAAATTTACATTTACTTTAAAACATCATTTGATTAAACTTTACAATAAGACTTAATTTTTAAATTCCCATCCAGACTGTGTTCCATAGAAACACACAGATGGTAGACTTTTTAAAATTTTGTGTGCTTTATTATGAATGAGCAGTAAACTCAGCATGGCTGAAAGTCATCAACAAAACCAAGAGATCTCTCCTGATCTGTTTTAAAGGATCTGACTCTAAAGCCTATGAAGTTTTCTTGAGTATTTTATCCAGCTAATAGAACATGTGGATTAGTCACCGCAGTTATTTTTTTCACAAGCTGTGGAACTTCAGAGTGCCTTCAACAGATTCCAACAGTTGAGCAACTTAGTTTACTTTGGCATATCCAAAGTGTATTCGCCTGTCCCTTTTGTCAGAGACTTTACCATTGTTATTCTATATGCAGGTCTTTTTGAAGTCACATATTTTCTGCAGGTTCAAGGAGGACAGTGTTTTTTGCATAATTTGTTCTTTTATTTTTCTTAGGGAAATGCTGATATTCAGATGATCCTTTGCACAGCCGTACAGTCTGCCTCCCCATCACTATTTTTTCACCTTGTTCTTCATCTTCTGAGAATGTCTATAAGAATTCATCATTTCTCTTGCTTTACAGGCAATCCTAAATCCACTGCAGGCCGTATTCAACTCCATGGTGTATCGCAGCTGGGAGGCAGGCAGTGTCATCTCAAAGCCCAGTTGGTTCCCAGCAAGATTATGGCCTAAGTATTTATCACAACAGCTGGAGGTGCCCAATGTCAATGTTGATGATACTGATAACGATAAGGTATGACAATGTATAGCTGTCATGTGTTTATGAGAGTATATGAAAGATATTGTATGTTCTGTGTACAAAGACAATTGTAGTGCTAGGTACAGTGGCGTAGATAAGAAATTTTATAGGGGGGTGAGAAATGCTGATTTTCTGACAAAAATTTAATAAGCATTTTCAATTCTTCATGATTATTTTCTGACAAGAGTAGCAATTTTCCGACAAAAGGGCAGTTTAGCTCTAGAGGAGGGTTTTCCGCCCCCACTGACCCCACTCTATCTACACCACTGGCCAGGTAGTTGATGAAATTATATGAAAATTATATAATTTATAGATTTATACATTGCAAAATGTGGGTTGTGTATGAATGCAGATGTGGGTGGGTGTGGAAATAGAAAGAAAGAGAATAACAAGTAGATAAACAGAAAGATTTTTTAACTTCACCTTTTTTATTATTGCAGGTTCCTGAACAAAAAGAGTCTGCAGAAGAATCTCAGCGTTCTGTTTCTATGAGGTTGTCACATGAAAGAACACCATTACTGCACTCTTTGTCAAAAGATGGAGTTAATCAAAGCCAGCATGAGGTCACTAGTAGCCAGACTGCACCTAAATCATATACTTAATACACAAGTTGTTTCTGCTCCAATGTAGTTAAATTTATTATGGATTGCACTGAAGCATTTACTTACTACTTATATCTTCAGGTCACCAAATTACCATGTGCCAATAATCTGAATGGTATGGAACACATACAGTACATTTGCTTCTCTCTCTTTTTGGCAGTCTCAGGGAAATGCTCTCTAATGCTCTCTTACATATGCATCTGGGAAAAGCAGAGTAATACTTCACAGACTTCTGAAACTAAACACTTATCAAATGCTGAATCAACTTTAAGCAGGCCTAGCAGAATGTACCAGTATGACAAAATGTCCACTTGTTCTGTGTTCTCAGTTGTCTCTAAGTATTACATCCCAAGTCACAGTGTATATGAAAATTTTCCTTTCCTCTGCAGTATTGTTGTTCAGATGATAATAATGACAATTTTTTTAAAAATCATTTGTTTTTAATTGCTTTAATGATCAACTGTGCTTTACTTCATTTATCTATGGATTGTATCACTGGATCTATAATGCTTTCTAAGGGAGTTTCTCAGAAGTCACAAAGAATTTGTCATCAGTCACAAAGCTCTCAAGAAAGTTCATATACTATAATATGACAAGCTTAATCTTGCATCTGCTTTCCAGATTTGTTTACCTTTTTTCTCATTTACGTTTGTCTTACTAATTCTGTAGTTCCGTGAATATTTATGACATTTATTTTATTGAACAGGATCACCTGTTACATTTTTAGAAACCTTTTATTTATATATTTTTTCTTTATTTTTCTTTATGGCATAGATAATTTAAAAGCATTGTCTGTCTTATCGTGTTCTGTATCTTTTGGTACTGAAGATAATTGGCAATTTTTATGTTTTAGTATAGATTATTCACAAAAATATTTTATGATACTTGATCAATGATTGAAGCATATGATCTATTATTAAAATGCCATAAGATCTATTATTAAAATGCAGACAATGTTATAGAGAGTTGCTAATCATACATTCCAACTGTCTCAATATTCCAATTTTCATTCCAGATATATCCTTGAGATTTAAAGATTGTTTGTTTTATGGTTAAATATATAATGCACTTTTTATTATGCTCACTGACCTCCATCCAGATATCAGGTTTACTCGGAGGATGGGAATCTCTTCTTGACAGCTAACTGATAACTATTGCAACAAAAAGGGGTTGCACCTGTTAATACTCACTGCCATATTCATTGCATTATACCGAGTAACTAGGTAGTTTGTGTACAGGGCTTTTCATGCAGTTGATTGACATTGCTAGGCAAGATACTCCTTCCATTGGAACAACTTTGAACAGAGCATAGATGTTGCCAGCTATTGATACCTGTTTTAGTTGTTTTTTCTGTTCAGTTTTGCTGATCACTTTGTTTTATAATCATTATTATTATTATTATTATTATTATTATTAAGATGATTATGATGGTAATTTTCATTAGCAGTAGTAGTAGTATTTCTGCTACTACTACTACTACTAAGACTACTATTACTTGTGTTTTTGTTATTACTTTTACTAGTATAGTTACTATATGTATGTCTGTATATATATTTTTTCCATATAGGTTTTCCATTCCTCCCATACTTGCAGCCTTGAACATGTAATATATCTTTTATTATCAATTGTTGCGATGGTGAGTTTGTTGCAAAAGCTGTTTGTTGTCATTCGCAAACTTGTTTTTTCATTATTTTTATAATATTACCTATGTAACTACAGTATTATGTAACTGCAAATATTGAGAGTAATCGAAATTGAATGACCACAAACATATTCCCTTGACAGTATATATACATATTGTAACAAGATTTGTAAGTTGAAAAGGACTCAAATTTTGTTACTTAACAAAAATTATTTGTAAAGGGTTGCAAAATCCTGTACATGTCTTTTCAAGGGCACCCTTTATAATAATTTAATCTTTTCCATTCTTTCTTTGTTAATATTCCTTGTGTACCATTGAAATATATTTAAGAGTGTAATGAATACTTCTCTTTTTTTCTTGTTCTTCCTCTTTTTTGGCATAAAGAAATACATATATATTTAGCTGGATTGCAAAGCTTATTTCCCACTTTAGCTTTCGGCATCTAAGGAACTGCCATCAGCATAAAGATATTGATATTTTTATAAGGTACTTACTGTGTGTAATTATATTTACAGAATTTACACCATCTGAGTATAGTTGCAGTAGATTAACAAGATATTGCATAAGAATTACTCACTGGAAAGAATTTGCCACATGCAAATAGTGTTTGAATTGATAATCTCTTTACAGTCTTGCTATTTACAAGTGCTTAAGATTATACTTTTTTTCAAGCAGCATATAAACTGGGAGAAATAAAAAGGTAATTGTTTTGCTTTCTGTGGACAAGTTGTTGAAACCTAGAAATCTTTATTATCATATAAGGTTTATATAGTTTTTTTTATATATTTATTTATATGTGAC